CGGCATATCGGATATCGGCCAAAATCCCAATATCGTGCTTCCCTATAATGATCCATTGATTATTCCTTGCTAACCAGACTTCTCCTTTAAGAGGATTGAGATGAATCAGCAGGAAGCATGAGTATGGAGAATTACCTTGGCTCTCCATTTTTGCTGATGACTCCGCAGTTCAAAAGTCCCTGGAGGAGGCTGGACACCAGGACGTCAGAATGACTGTCCGCCAGCTGGCCGATGACGGACAGCAGCTCTCTGCGTGACGCCGCATCTCTAAACGCACAACAGGAAACAAAAATGTGAAGAAGAATATGGAGAAACAGCAGCGAATGCTTTGGTTTCCAGATGACGGGTCCAACCTACCGGTATCTGTGGGGGGTGAGGCAGAAGAGCTTACACAGCCCTTTAACCGCAGCCTCTGGCAACTCTACAACAAAATACACATATTTGGAACGATAAAGGCTGGTTTCAAAGCAAGCTGTAATAAAGCAGGCGATAGGTGACCTCACCTTTTTCCTTCAGACACCTCCTCAAATCCCCGTAGATCTCCTTCCGCTCCTTAATGCTGGCCGTCGTCACTTTGACAGCAAATTTCTTCAGGGTGTCTGAAACCTAAAGCAGAATCATCAAGATTTATGGCTGATGGACGCTTTATGCAGAATTCCCACCGATCCCTGCATCAGTCGGGAGACTGGCTGATATTAGCGGTATTCAATGAGTCCTCAGCGTTTTTAGCAGCGATTATAGGGGACGAATGCGTTGCTGCTTCCTCCATTTACCATCCGTTGTTATGTTTTATTTGATTTGGTAATACATTTTTCTTTCTTGGCTAAATTGAGGTTTGTGGAACATAAATTATCGCATATTGTCTGACGACAGTGTCTAAACGTCACTTGTGCCGCTTCTCCTGTTACCCTGAAATCCCACATCCTCCCTCACTGCTCCGCCTCGTAGCGCTCCAGTCCTCCTGCACAAAGCAAAGCCTACAGCCTCCGCTGTTCCTCCCGTATTGCTGCAGTCAGACTTATCCTCGGAGCTCGAGGAGAGAATGCGCGATATTATCATTAAATTCATAGGAGCAAAACATGCAGAAATTAACACTTAATTTAATATGACATATAAAAAATCTCCATCAGCATCCAGCATGTGTTCGGTTTCTGATGGAGATGAGAAATCTACTTCCTAGTCTGTTGAAGTACCAATAGTTTGCATCCAATCTTTTAAATAAACAGTGTTAGTATTTTGAAATATATAAGAATTATGCTCTAATTTGTAGTTAGTGTTGTTACTATATTTTAATTTGACAAACCGGATCGTCTCGCCGTTCTTTTTCCTGTTTGGTGCGATTGCAAAGCGGATGTTGAGCTGGCCGGACCGGAGCGGAGCCTGAATATAAAGCAGGATTCTCCACCATGAACAGAATCAACAATAAATCTGGATCCAGGCTCAAAATGAGCTCCTTGATATGTGCTTGAGAATGGCTTAGTCTCCGGTTAAACCCAGGTTTAAAGCCTTGCAGGGCAGCCTAAAGCCCACTGCCAACATTAAGACAGAAAAAAGAAAGAAAATAACAAACGATCAGTTCAGGGGTTTGAGAAAATATGGGAATCAGGAAATTATCTATAAACCAAACTGAATGATTGTTGTTCAAAAAACACTTTAGACTTCAAAATGGATTACAGGGTCAGTATTGCTGATACTTTTTTTTTTTTTTTTTTAAATTCAATGTATAACATGGATGCATAAACACCTCATTTTATTTCAATGTTAAATTATGTAACAGATTATAATTAAAAATGTCCACTGGTTTTTAATTGGTTACTCCTGCTCTAGACGAAGGAAGTAAAACCAACGTGTGCCTAAAGAGACGTCCCAAAATAAAAAGGCAGAACATATTAAAGCTGGGCAATTAATTGCATTTGCAATATAATCGCAATTTAGAAAAATGCTATTTTCAAATTGCAGATGCTCTCCATTTTAGTCAGGATACATTAAACAAGAGTGAGACAGTAAATTCCTCCCTTAGATGATGGTAATATGATTGAAGTGGGGGTGCTGTTGCACAGAAGGGAACCGTGAGTTGCAGCTCGCACCTTCATCTATACTTTATAGTAGAAGGAAGAACTTTTTTAATGCAAATGTTTCAGTAAAGTTCTGCAGCACTGCAGTAAAACAT